GTTGATTAAAAATATCTTCAAGTGTTTTTAATTATGGGCATTCTGTATTGTAAAATTACCTTAAGCACCAAGTGAACACATTTTTCTGTCAAAGTAGATGGTAGATAAATACTGCCTCATGTGGAAACAATGAAAGTCAAATTCCTTTGTATGAATTATGATGGTTTTTATTTGGTTTTGGGTGTCAGGAGAAATAAGTCAAAGCACCATCATCAGAAATAGGCATAATTGTTGGTCAAATTGTCCTAACAGAAAATTAAAAGCCAGTCATTTTAATTGTTTATATTGAGATTTTTCTGTGGCCTATGCAGATTTGAATGTCTCTCTCTGGAGACATTCAAAACACGCCTGGACACGTTCCTGTGTAACCTTATCTAGGTGTTCCTGTTCCGGCAGGGGGATTGGACTAGATGATCTTTTGAGGTCCCTTCCAATCTCCAACATACTGTGATACTGTGAATGTGGCAGAGTAACATTATGAGTTATAGTTTGGAAGTTATGAAAAAATAACTATTTTGATTTTCACAGGGTATTTTGATTTTTATAGTGATATGCAAAATGATGTGCAGCTCTAAAGCAACAGCCCATCATCAATGGTCATTGAATATACCTTTCTGTGTGGCACAATCCTTGGTGTACAGAGGTTTGAAGTACAACACATCTTGCAGAGCTTTAAGTATTAGGCTATGGTTGGCAGCTTCAGAAAGGAAATCATTCCTTTATTAGCCATCTATCTATGAGGCCATAGCAAAAAAAAACTTGGATGTTCCCAATGTATATAGGTAGCTGATAGTAAAACTGCTGCTGAGTTGGGATCTCAGTTGATCTGGGCCAAAACTTCTCAAAGTGGATGTACTCCTGAGCTTTGTCATGGGGATAGCAAAGGACAGGAGGATTCTTGGATTACAAGGTGAAAGAAAAAGTCATCCAGACACCAGAAAAGACAATAGTGATGTGCTGGAGGAGAACAGGGCAGGCATGCACACAGTGTGCATATGCAGGGAAAAATACAGGTGTAATGCTCAGAGGAGCTAACCAGTCTCTTCAGGCTGATCGTAGCAGTAGTTTGAGCTTGTGTTACATTTTGAATTGCAGTTTATGTAATCTTATATTAAGTTTAAAATATAGTTTGTATAGTCTTAATATAGCTTATATGTAACATATATTGTGCAGTGCTTTGCTTTCCTTTGTCTACAGAAAATTATAAGCTATATGGCAGTTTTTATGGGATTCCCTGTATAACCTTCATATACGATGGTATGTTGCCATATCCTTTTAATTTAAAAATATATGAAGTTGTAAAATTGATGTTGGTGTATAGATCTGTATAGTTAAGGAACCAAACAATTTTGGTAGTCCTAGGGTTTCATCATATGATAATTGTTCTTCTGCTACCTTCAGTCATTTGGTATGCTGAAACTACTGCCATTACCTGTTCACTTATTGCAGCTGCAACATAAACCAGAGTAATTGCCTAACAGTTGTTATAAAATGACATCTTTCTTATAAAGCTCTTTTAGAACTGAAAGGCCACAATAAGGTCTTCCTGGAGTGTTCTCTTCTCCAGGCTGAACAGTCCAAACTCTCTTAGCCTTTCCCCAGAGGAGAGATGCTCCATCCCTTTAGACAGGTCTTCACTGTTCCAAGTGAAGATTGTTAGAGTACAGAAATGAAGTATAAAACTGAGTGCAAAGGAAATGCTTCTTCCTCTTATGAACTACTTCATTCACCAAAGAGTTACTTTTTTTGTGCACTGCTAAATTCTTACCCTGGTTTCATCATGTCAGACTAAACACAGAAGTGGAAATGTACAGAATAACCACCATCAGTTTTTGACAGGTTTAGAGTATATCCAAGTGTGACTTAATTTAAATATCATTTACTTATTTAGTTACTGAAATACAGTGAGGTTATGTAGGTGTTTTTTAAGAAAGGAAGAAGTGGAATTTAGCAAAAGTATTGCTTCAAATAAAAGCAACTTTCTGTTGACACAGGTCCTTTAAAGGAAGTCTAAATATGCTCCCCAGCATAATGGTTTTATAAAGGGTCAATTATCTTGTGACCTTATTCCTACTTCAGACCTTAGGTACCTAATTTCAGCTCCTGTTTTCTCTGAAAAAAACCCATGTCACACAGTTCATTTTGAAAGTTGTTTGGAGTGTCTTACAGTCTCACATTTTTTGTTCATCCTGTATACTGCTTTATTTCCTTAATGGAAGGGGTATAAAGATATTTTCTTCTAGGATGGGATCAACTATAAGCTGCATAGAAAATAAGCAACAATTCGTTTGTCATCTTTTTGTAGCTGTTTTGAAATGAATTTTTCATAGTGTATAACTGAGTACCTGATCCTACTATATTTTTACTTGCATGCTGGTGCATTTACAGTACTGTAGCCAGTTTAAAATTTACTGGCACAAGTGGCACATTTTGTGTCTGCTCCCGAGAGAAGCCACAGGTACCCTGTGCTTCAGGTTCTCCCTCAACCACTTTGGGTTGCTCCTTCTTCACCCAAGAATTCTCTGGAGTGAGAGTCTTAAGTGGACAGGATGTTTTTTTCCTCTGCCTAATTTAGAGTAATAATTCTTGCCCTTGAGATAGCATCTGCGTTCCCAGAAGGTGTAACATAAGAAGTTCACTTTGGCCATGCTGGTTTTGAGGAAGTAGGGGCCAGTGCCACATATGGGGATGGGGAAGGCCTTAGATAGTGCTTATAGCAGGGATTAACTTTGTCATTCCTTGGAAGATGTGAGGAAAGGGAAACAAGTCAAATAGGTTCCGGAAGTGGTCTGGTCGCAAACAGGTTGAAAAGGAGAATTTACCACGTTAATGATTAATGATGACAAAGCTCATTCAGCTTGAAAAGTACTTTCTGTAAGTGCTAAGTGCTGGCATTAAAAATGTATGCGTTTTCCTTTTAATCCACACTTGGCGTCTGCAAATGGAGGGGAAAAGGGAAAGCCAATACTGTCATTATAGCAACACTAATGCCTCTCTGCATCTGAAATCACAGTTTGCCAAGGCATGAGACCTAGGCTCTGGTTCTTGCAGAGCTTAGTCTGCTGTAGTTGCTGCTGCTAGTGGTCCTCTTGAATTGCTCTACTGCCTGCCCTGCAGAGCTATAAATGACCCTTGGAAACCTGCAAGTCAAAAATCTAAGTGAACAGTTCTCTTCATTGAATCCCTACTGATAAAAAGGAAGACTGTTATCTGTCACGTGGATTTTTCACACAGGTAATGCTTTTTAAGATATCCATTATCAGATATCTGTTTTCCTAAAAAAAAAAATAAAAAATAGGTCTGCTGTCTCAGTTGAATAGGAGACACAGGGAAGGGGACTCCGACAGACATGATTTGTTGTGCCTTTAAGGTGGTGGCATGTTGCCACCAGAAAAGCTGTATACTAGAGGACCAGAAAACGTGTGGGTAGGAAGTGAAGTTTTTGCTGCAGTCAAGCTGCAAAAGGTAAAAATCTAGAATAAAACATAAGTACAGGTAGCTGCAAAAGGTAAAAATCTAGAATAAAGCATTAATACAGGTAATAGGGGCTCTGAAAGGAGAAGAATAGACATCCAAGAGGCAGAACAGAAAGAGAAGAGGCTGAATGAGCAGACTGAAAGTCTGGACCTTACAGCCACAAGCCACATGCAAAGGGTTGGGCTGGAGATGTGCTCATTGATGTGCCTGTTCGATGGTGTGGTTGGAAGGAAGAAGCGGCTTTGTGCTCTGACCTGCAGTCAGGCACGCTGCACTTGGCAAGGTTAATGTAGCTCTTTGCCTACTCAGGCTGAAGATCTTAGGTCCTTTCCAACCCTAACTATTCTATGATTCTATGACGGTGAGTCAGCAGCTGCATACCTTTTGCAAGTTCTGTTTGAAAATGGTAATTGAAGTTCCTGGTTTGCCAGCTTGGTGCAGAGTGTGTAATCCTTCTCACCTCCCACCCAGCTGTATCCTGAGCTGGTTTTGTATCTTCAAATCACTCTGCTGTTGGTCTAGCGTCACACTTTATTCACATATCTGGTAACAGAGAGTTAGGGGCTTACTTTCTGTAGTTGTCTCCAGTTTGTCACAGTTAGCTGAACTGACAGGCAAGGTAACAGTGCTACAGGGTGACCCATCTGCTGGAAAGCAAATGCTCAATTGCTCTTTCTATGTAGCATCAGGCTGGTCTCCTCATCTTTGCTTCCCCAACAGACACTTATGCATCAGCTCTCACCATGATGTGGGAAATGTGGATGTGGAAGGGGGTGGTTGCTCTATAAGAATAATGAGGTTTGGTATTAATTTGCACTTAGTCTAAAATTTCCACCTTTATTCTCCATTTTGTTGATGGACCTGCAGTGCACTACTGTTAGATGCTACATTTGCAGTTATGACTTGAGTAAATTCCTGTGGTTGCTAGGGGAGAAAAGTGTTAGTATTACCAATATTTATTATTCAGTCCCCATGGAAACTGTAGTTCTCTGGAAGTCCTAATTCTCACATTTTTCTTTCCTATGGAAAAGATACGTCTTTAACCATGAAGTTCAGATAGTTATCTTCTAGAAATAGAAGGCAAGATGCACCACTCCTTTTTGCTTTCTGTTATGCTTGACAGATGTCTGTCTATGGATAGTTACTGCTTACTAAGCTGTGTTGTGGTTTCCAGTCACATAAAGATTTTTTGAGTGTGGTTAATCTAATTTTATCGTGGTGGTGTTTTATTATTTTTTCCCCTCCTAGCTCCTTGTTTGATTTATCCTTTTCCCCATTACTGTTATTTTTTAGCTTGCTGCGTGTCTTAAATGGAGGAAGAGTTATTTGATGTGGAAATGAACTTGCTGTTTGCTATTTAAAGGCATAACTGTGGCAAAAGCTGTGAGCATGGCCCATAGCTGTGAAAGGGGGACAGTAGTATTTGTATTTTCAAAGAATTCCCATTTCAAATGAAAGTGGTTAAAATAGTGACTGGTTTATTCTTGGTAGGACTGTCAACTCAGTCTTTGACTTTCTTACAGTGCCTAAAACAGTATGTGGAGCTTTTGATCAAAGAAGGTCTAGAAACAGCAATCAGTTGCCCTGATGCTGCCTGCCCAAAGCGAGGTCATCTGCAAGAAAATGAGGTATGCTCATACTGCAAGTGTTACAGCTGCCATTGTTGCCAACAGACATTTTTAATGCCCTCTAAATGTCACATATTTTGTCTCTGTTTGTTGAAAATGCCTTAGATTATTGCTGTTCCTAATTCGAAATTTGTCTTTTCCTTCAACAGATTGAGTGCATGGTTGCATCAGAAATCATGCAAAGGTATAAGAAGCTGCAGTTTGAAAGAGGTAACGCATGTAACACTACCCACTGCAAGGCTGTGGGAGTTGTATCACTCCAGAACGATCCCATAAATCAGAATCTAGCTGTGCCCATGCGCATTAAGTAGCATTATGCGTTAATCATTTGTCATCACAAAACAAACCACCACCACCAAAACAGTGAAAAAAAACCACAACCACAACAAAAAAAACCCTAAAATTGATTCTGTTCTTGACTGGATGATTCCCAGAACTGCAGCATTCTGGAAATGAACTAAGGAAAGAAAATGTCTATGTATTATGTTGCTCTATAGGAGGAGGAATGACTTTTTCTAGTTTTGCTATTTGACTACCAGTACTCCAGGGGCTGGGGAAGTAGACTGACCCCTTCTATGGAGCCACCATTATATCCTGTGATGCCACCTGGTGCAGAATTGCTAAGCACGTCTGTGTGTATAAAATGAACCTTGTTAATTTTTATGAGGATATAAGCTGACTGTGTCCCTATGGAGATGTGGAACTGTGTGGCTGTTGAGAACTTACAGTAAGGTTTGCTGAGGGCAACACCCAGCCTAGAAACCACTGAAATCATTGGGAAGCTTTTATTGACATCAGCGGGCTTTGAAACATGCAATGACTTGCCGGAAAGTAGCCTCCAAGAAAGGGCTGAAATTGTAACAGTCTTTTGCTATTGTTAATCATATGGTTACATTAGGGCAGAGGCCAACTTGAAATAGAGTCGTAATAGGCAAGGCACTGTAAAAACACTTTCTGATGGGTTATACCTGCATAGTATATGCTCTATTTAACTTGAAATACAACTGGAGAAAAATGCAACATCTCATTCTCAGAGCAAGTTTAGTTCAGTTAATGAAAGGGGGCAATTCAAACTTGGGAAACCCACTTGAGTTTGGTGCCTGTTTGCAAAGTAGGCCAGATTTATGTCTTCAATGGGTAGCATAAATTTAAGGGCTTCTTTTGAAAATGTGTGTCTTCAAGTGCCCTGCCAGTCAACCTCAGCTGGAATATATTGTTACAGAAGGCCGGTCTTGTAACCACCATTGAATTTGGTCTTTTGTGTACCTTTGCAGAAGTGCTTTTGGATCCGTGTCGGACTTGGTGTCCATCCTCTACTTGCCAGGCAGTTTGCCAGCTCCAGGAATCAAGCCCACAGGACCCCCAGCTGGTCCAGTGCAAAGCCTGCGACATTGAGTTCTGCTCTGCTTGCAGATCTAATTGGCATCCAGGTCAAGGCTGTCAAGAGAACATGCCAATCTCTTTTCTTCCGGGAGAAACAAGGTGAAGTATTGCAAAAGATCAATTATTTAGAAATTAAACACTCCATCTTTGAACAAACCAGAATGTGAATAGCGAAGAGGCATTTCCCTGATACTTTGTGTTAAAGCAGCTTTCCTTCACTTAGTCATTCCTATTCTTTTAATGCTGTATTCCAAAACTGGGTAGCTGACAGCCTCACTCCTTGCCACCAATCCCAGCAAAGCACCAAGTAGTTACTTTAGCCTTTGCCTGTTCACCCCAGTGGAAAAAATACAACTTCCAGGTAGCTCATGAGCTTCCCTTCAGAGAAAATATTGCTGCTGCTATTCTGGACAGCATGAAGGTTGGTAACATCATGCCAGACAGTGATTTATTTATTATTTTTTTTGATACCTTGTCAGTCATCCTAACTGCTGCATATTTGGCTAACGATTTTAAGACCCGTTTCAAGCCATTTCCAGTGGCATACTGAAGCCAGTGAATAAGAAAGGTCATCGTGCATGTGGACCACATAATGTCTGCAGCCTTGGACCTACCTATTCATAACTTGCCTTCTTCTTTCATGCTTTGCTGTAACAGATGACTAACTATGATGATGTCATGATGTGTTCTTGGTCAAATGTAGTAATTTTTGCACATGCTTTTTGTGTGTGCTTGATCAGAACTGCAGCTTACTAGACTTCATGGCAAGGTAAAAAACTTTATCTATTTTCCTTAGTGTTTTGGTTGCTTTTAGGTTTTATTTCATGCTTCATTTTTTACTCCATTGAAGTCTATTCTACCATTATTTTAGAGCATATTGTGCCATTAGCTACTGTGTGTTTTGAGTTTCATATACAGTTTAAGGTTTCAAAGCATTTTTCTGTAATACGGTTGCTTGTAGTGTAACCAACAAGTGTGTATCCTTTTATCCTGCCACTGGGCAAAGCAATTGATCAAGGGTCAGTCCTGTTTTCAGCAAATTGTTGCTTCCCCATCAGTCATTCTTGTATCTCCCACTGGCAGTAGCTGCTGGAAGTGTCATTTGTTAAAGTACAATTTGGTTGTTAGTGTGCAAAAATCTGCATATGGTAGAAAGATACTCAAGGGAAATAAATGTTCTTCCAGTGTTTCCACATTCCTCTGCATTGTGCCCACTGTATAAAAGAACATCCTGTGGTTTTGCAGTCATGCAAGATGAGAAGTGGTGCTTACCCTAACTCATGACCAGTGGCTGGTTAGGATAGTGCTAGAGATGAAGAGATCAACTCTGAAAGAACAGGATGCTCTCCAAACCTCATGGTTCCCCATATGGAGGGAAATTCCTAAGGAGGATCCTTAAGGAGGCAAGCAATCTATCCCTGGTGCCCCAGTCTGAAGGAATGTGGTCTGGGCTTCTTGTGTCATTCAGGGATTGCTTCCTCTTCTGAGGAAGAAGGGAGGAAAATGATCTAGACATACAAAGCATTTAGGTGTGAACAGGAGAAAACTATCTAATATCTATTACTATCAATAGATAACAAAAACAGTTGGCAACTTATGGTTGGCAACTTATGTGGTAAAGAAAATGTCCTGAATCTTACATAGGCACTGTAGTCATTAAACATTTTTTTTTTCATTGAGATATGTTTGAAAAATGGAGTATAGCTAAAATATCTGATTAGTGAAAGTGAATTCAATACCTGGATCTCTAGTATTATTTTTTTTTAAGTGAAAAAGTAGGCTTACCTTCTTAGTATGGTTCTTCCTAAACTGACACAGCCACACATTTTACTAATTCCTCATTCCGTCCCACAGTTCAGTTTTTAAAATGGAAGAAGATGATGCCCCAATCAAACGCTGTCCAAAGTGTAAAGTTTACATTGAACGAGATGAAGGCTGTGCCCAAATGATGTGTAAGAACTGCAAACATGCTTTTTGCTGGTACTGCCTGGAATCTCTTGATGTGAGTACATGCCATGCACTCTGGTTCTCAGAAGCTTCATTGCTTTTCCATCCAGCTATCTTGTTAATCAATTAAATAGTAGTTCAGTAGCTTCTGCCCAACTGGCAGCCAACCAGAGCTGATTCTGGTAATCTGATAGGATTTCTATGCTCTGTTTTACTTGTCTGACCTGTGTGATTTCAGCATTTTGCCTATGTGAGTCAGTAAATAATTATGAAGAAGTAAAATTTTATGAAAATATTCTGTTTGAAATCTTTACAATGAAACTAACACATGGGAGAGGTCTTTTTTGTTTGTTTGTTTGTTTTTTTGCTTTATAATACTTCACTTAATACTGACTTTCCAGTGTCCCCCTCCTTGAAGGAGTTACCGGATGATTATAACAATGTTCTTAGTCTGTGGAAGTTTAACAGACAAACTCTAGATTTGGTGCGTCACCATGCAGGAGACTAGCAGTCAGATTTGTTTACTGTTCATTGTATTCTGTGAGACAAGAAATAGATCTGACATATGAAAAAGAATACAGTGTTCTCCTAGCATTAGGAATTTGTCAGTCTATAACCTGCTGCTGTCATATGTTTATGTTATTTTAAAAATCAGCCTGTTATCATGCCCAAGGATCAGAGTATATATAATATGCAACATCTGTTTCCGTGCCATCTGTTTTATTTTATAACATTGTTAACAATAGCAAAGGAAATGTTTTAGACTCCCGAAAGCTATTCAGATTCAGTGGTTGTCCCATTTGAATGCTTTACGGTCCTTAAGTCTCAGTCTTCTTATGTGCTCAGTTAAAAAACGGTGTTCTGTTGGTACTAGGCCTGCTATCTTGTCTGGTTTGTAAAAGGTCAGATAGGGACATCATTTATCAAAATTCTATATTATCCTTTTCTTCTTCAGCTAGTAAAAGGAACCAACTTTGGGCAGTCTGTGATACAAGTATTCCTTTTCCTTTGTTCTTTCTGTGTGTGTTCAAGATATATGCAGTTGTCAGCTTATCTTCTTGGATCCTCTTGCTAAACTCCATGCTAGCATTTAAATACGCAGCTTGAGAGTCTTTGAGAGAAGAATTCATTATAGATATATAACATTTGCTAAATAAACCTTTTTGTGAAGACACTTTAACTGTAAACAAAGCCCTTTGGAAAGGTTGGACTTGACCATATCCACTTTACTGAGCTTTTATCTTCCTGTGGAATTCCTGGTTATAAGTTCTCAGGAAATAGTACTTTATAACTTGAAGAAGAGTTTGTACTTCTGTTTATTGCCTACTTTTTCATTTAATATTTTGTAGGATGATTTTCTCCTTATACATTATGACAAAGGACCTTGTCGAAACAAGCTGGGCCACTCCAGGGCATCAGTTATTTGGCACAGAACGCAGGTAAAGCTCAGATCTTTAAAAGCTCTTTACAGGTCTATTACTGTCATAGTGCCTTCCTTTGCCGTACTCATTTTAATACCTTAGGATAAATTTCTTGTGCCAAATGGTAACTGATTTTCATAGCAGCTCTAGAGGGCAATAGCTTAGAGAGGTTAGCTATCCCAGAGAGGACAGTCCTTGACAGAAAGCCACTGAGAACTAGAAGGGGTATGTTTGCAGAGCTAGTTAAGTGCCAATCCAGATATGTTCTCAGTAAACCTGGAGGATGAACTAGGTTGACACCATCCATATTATTAACAGGAAGCTCATCATGGAAGGGATCTTTAGCTTCAGATCCAGAACTGGAAATGAATTAGCCCAAGTATGCTAGGTATCTTGTTATGTACTCCAGTTGACCCATTCATGTAAGTTGGATAGAAGGTAACCCTCTGAGTTTATCAGTAGTTGCAAACACAGATTCAAGCTGACAAAGAGTATGGGGATACTTCTTGTTGTCTGGATCCAGTTTTGCTGGACCCAGCATGAATGCTAGTAATGAAAAAGCTCTCTGCATTACTTTCTATGCATATAATGTAAATGCTAGTGTGTGACTTGGTCCAATCTAGTGCCTTCGTAGTCATTTCAGAGATACAGGAACATCTGGGTATCTGAGTCGTCTCTTCCTAAATTAACTGTATGCTAGTAAAACACTACCTTAGCTTGAGATGAAGTGCTTTGCTTGAAGTACAGATTTCTTTCCATTTGACTGTATACACCAAGTCTAGAGAATAAACTCCAAGCCTGGACAGGCAGCTAAACAGAAATAAAAGGTGGAGGATTTCATTCCTCTCCCTCTGCATATGCCCCTTGGCGCTGAGCAATGGACTGGGTTTTGCTTGGCTTACTCAATGGTATCTTAGAAAGTCTATGGATACATAAGCTTTCTTGATATATCTGTAATATGAGGTGATTAATCTGATACTTGGAATTTGTTCTTAGCTACAGAATTTGGTGCAGATATGTTTGATAGACAGTATGCTTGATGTTTTGGTCATTGTTAAGAAAGAAAGTGACAATTTACCAATCAGGATGTAATTCTGCTAAATCCACTAAAACTAAATCAACTTTGCAATTGTTTCCTTATGTTAAGTCTCTTTTGAGTATTTATCCAAGGTAAACTGAAGTGAGTATTTGGTTTGTTGTTTGTGGATTTAAAAAAAATATTTGTTTTGGCCAGAGGGGATGGCTTGATGCTGAGTAGGGCAGCAACTTCTTCAGAAGCAACAAAACCAAGTAGAACATGAGTAAGTAATACTCAGCAAGCAGTTTTGTTTAAAAAAGAAATAAAAAAATGCACCCCCCACCCCCCCCAACTAACTAAATAAATAAACACAAATAAAATGAAACTTAATTAATTCTTTGATGTTGTATTGAGGCTGGAAGGAAGGTGTAAATAGGTATCTCAAAAATTACCAGTAGTCAGTTTGGTCCACTTGATTGCTAACTTCCAGCTTGGCTCTGTCTGACCAGTGCACTCTTAGCCCAGGCTGCAAAGAGTTAGGCAAGAGCATGCTGTCTCCAAAAAGCAGTATGGCAGTAGTTGCAGCTCACAGCTTGCAAAGGAGATGAGAATTTAGCTCTGATTTATGCCTGCAGTAAGTAAATGCAGAGATTAAAATGGAAGTTGCATCAGATTGTCAGCGCCTCTGATAAAAAGAATGCACGAGGAAACGTGCACACCTCTGAAGCTGAAAAAGAAATTGCTCTTGGCAAGAAAAAACACTTTTAGGGCAAGGAAGTTTGAGCTCCTTATCCCTGGACAGCAAAAAGCCAAGATCGAAAGAATTTGGCTAGGAGGAGGTAGCAGTGACTGCTGTCCCACAGCGCCATCTCCCGCAACCGGCCTTTCCTTTCAAGCCCTTGTCCGAAAGTCCCTGAATAGTGGAATTGAAAAAAGAAATAGAAAGTAATCAGAACAAGAAATTGTCCGTGGCCGACAAAAATACTAGTAAATCATTCCATCTATACCATAGCTAATTAAATATTTGCCAGTTAATTGAAGCAGCATATCTAGCCCTGGCTGGAAGAATTCTTAATGAGTACTGCACTCTTCATTTTGCCTTCTCTTGTGAGGTTTTGCTGGCAGATTAGCATTCCCCCCCTGCCTTCTTTATTCCAAATTATTCACAGGCATTCTCATGTGAATAAATCTAAATTATTTTTTCAAACAATTTGTGGGCATACTGTTGCAGCATTACTGTTACAGTTGCCTGTGACATATGGGAAACTTCCTCAGGCAATGAACCTCAACCTTATTTTTTTAAAATAATTTCCCAAATTTAAACACTGTGGAAACTAATAGAGTTTGGCACTGACAGGGTGGATGGGTCTGTGGTCCTATGCCTGTGCTGGGAAATGGGTGATCAATGAATGTCAGTGAAAAAAGGTGCTTTTAGATAGAGTTAGGTCATATCCTCTGAAGCAGCTGGATGAGCTCAGGTCTGACTGCAAAAAGCCATTGCATATGCAGAGTCCTATAGAGTTTGTAACTGGTGGCTGAGATTCCCAAGCTTGTTTTCCTGCTGGTGGGAAACTTGTGAGAGTACTCACGGATCTCTGTGAACAGCATGAAAACCTTTGGAGCTTTCACCAGTAAAAAAGGGAACACCTTGAAATGAGAGTCTCAAATTCACTTGTAGTCTTGATCCTGATATTTAATATTTAGGTTTGATCAAGAAGAAAGTATCTTGTTGGTTGCTTCATTAGTTGTTTGAGATATAGCAAAACTCAAAAAGGCAAATAACCATCTGCATCACTTTGTGTGATGGGACTGAGTTGTGCAGCATGGTTCTGACTGAAGCAAAGAAACATGACCGTTCACTCTCTGATATCATTCATGGTTACTGATCACAGGAGCTGACTAGTGTACAACTGGGGCAAAGTCCTGGCTCTGGTAAGGTCAATGGCATTTGCTCAGATCTTTTTGAAGAGCACTAATGCTGACATGATGTCAACAGAATTTAGACAACTGCTATCCCTAACACAGTGCTATTCCTTTCTCTTGCAGGTGGTAGGAATTTTTGCAGGATTTGGTCTTCTACTTTTGGTGGCCTCCCCTTTCCTTCTCCTTGCTACACCATTTGTTCTGTGCTGCAAGTGCAAATGTAATAAAGGAGATGATGACCCTCTACCTACCTAGACTGAGAAGACTGGACTCATCACAACATGTGTTTTGATCTTATTGTTGCTGTTGATGTTTCCCTCTTGCACTTATATTTCTGTAGCCTTACTTGCCCCATTCTGCTTTTCATTGACACATAGTCTTGGTTCCAGGAACTGTTGTTACTACTGTTGCATAGATCAATCAATAATAGACAAGGAGGATAATGGAAGGCAAAATTGGTGCTAAAGGGAGACCATGGACCTGGGTAGTTATCTGAAATTAAGAGGTAATAATGCTAAAAATAATGCAAAAAGTTTCTGCTGCCCTGTGGTGGACTGGGAAATGTACTGAATGGTATCAGCAAAACAAGCTGAAAATGCATACAAATCTAACTTTCTGCATATCTGTTCGCTTCCGAATTTGGTGTCTTATTCCTGTATATATTTAAGTTGCCGATCATGTAAATCAGTCAACTTATTGTGACTTTTACTATGTTTACTACACATCTGTTTTTGTTAAAGCCATGACAATGTCCTTTTTAGTACCTATTTTTTCAAGTATAACAAAATCAGTAAGGTGCATATAGGCCATCCTATGCCTTTCTTCAAATTTGGGGAGGGTTAGAAGGACAAGGTTGGTCCTGTTGCCTTCCAGAAATTTTATGAAGTCTTATAAGAAATTTGTTAGATTGAAAGCTACATTTTAAAAATGAATTGATGAAGCAGTAAGGTTGAGTGGTGACACAAACCTACTGTCTAATCACAGTTCTTTTAAAAATGCATTGATGGTATTGATTACCGCTGGACCACTAGCGTTTTTCTGAACTGTTATTTTTTGCTGTTGTTTAGGGTTCTGCTACACTTATAGGGCTACATAACTTCTAATCCAGGTATCTTAATCTTTTTATATAGAGAGAGATATATATATAATCCTATTTAAACCAAATGTGTAAATAGCTGTGCTATTGAAATATTTTGGAAGTTCAAGATAGCTTGCTTCTGTCTTTAGGGTAATTATTAAAAAAATACAGGACTAACTTTACTATTTAGACTCTTGGCTTATCAATGAACCTTTCTTTTTAAGTATAAAAATGTAGCAGGGTTGTCCCTGTAGTTAATAATAAAAATGCCTGGGATGTTTGTGGGAGTTGTACTTTTCCCTTTAAACTATTTAGCCCGTTTTCAGAGTTAACATTGTATGATGTATGGTGTGTGCCGTTAATAACAGTACTGTGATGAAACAGTTTTTATTTGAAAAGTAATCACTTGATTTGATAGTTTTGCAGCATTCTCAGTGCTGTGTTTCCAGGGTGGTAAAGTGTGCTAGTCAGCATCATATTAATCATCATTGTTTCTCTTTAGAAATATTTTGTTGAAAACCATTTTTGTCTGATTTCAAAAGCCTACAAGGATTTGACTAATAACTTCTTGCCATGAAATATGAAGCACCTGAATGTGTATGTCTGTGTGTAGTACTGAAGGAAAACATTCTTCTGAATGGCTCATGGACTGAAGTTTGACTGTGTATTTTTCATCATTATTTATTTCTGTGCATTATTGATGTACTGAGATGGATAAATAGCCACGATAAATTTGCACTGAAAATATATTAAGGCCCTTAAATGCAACTGCTGATGGCTGCTGCCACAGGCTGGGAATATGTTTTCACATCTTAAGGAAATGACTCCTTTCTTTATTATCTTCTGTTTTGTACTGTCTGTCCGTTAAATAAAAAGACTGCAGGGTACAGTTTTGGAAAGGGCCACTGTCTTTTTATAAAGCTACTCTAGAATTTCTTCTCCTCCCCCTTCTGGCAAGTTTAATAGTATCCAAATTCAGACTGTATCTAACCACAGATTTTAGCTCCAGGAGCTGAAGGTTATCTGCAGATTACTCCTTTGGCTTGATTTTAATGACTGAAGAAAAAGGATAGCTGGTTTCCAGCAAGTCTGAACTCCTTGTGATATCTTCAGATTGTTCATGGCAATGCACAGTTCAGACCTTCTGTTATCAGGATGTTTTTAGGATTTTAGCTATCTTTGTTATTAAAAATTGCTCAGTTGCTCAAAATATGTGTAGGAGGTCTGGGTAGTGCATTCTATCTCTGTTTGGCAGCCCCAAAGGAGTGTGTGACGCACTGCTGAGGTCAGTGGGCAGTAAAGTGGTTATCTGACTCTGGCAGCACCTCAGTACATGCTCCAGAGATACCCTAAGCCGAGCACCTGGGTTGTCCTGAGTCATAGCGTCAATGTGCAGAAACAATGGAAACCCTTCTGCGAAGGACAGCTTCCTGCAGGTAAGCTTCAACTATGGCCTTTCAGCCTTGGCCCTGTAATTCTGTTTAACTGGAGAAAAACAAAATAGACAACAGGACATAAAAATTTCATGGGTTGTTGGTTTTCTAATTGGGAGCACCGAGGGATTTGCCTGTATGTGGCAGTGGTTCTAATGACTGCTTCTACTACTGGGATGATAGTAAACCGCAGAGGCACAGTGGCCTGTTAGCTGTACTGGAGTGTCCTGGTATGAGGTTTATTTTCTCTTTGCCTTTCTTAGAGACAGCCTTTATATAGCAATACAGCAAAACTTGAGTTTTCCATGGTACTGTGTGGCCAGTTAATAATCAATGTCAAAATTAATGCATTTCTAGATTTAAAAAAGAAGAAAAAAAAAAGGCCTTTATAAATACAGACTTTTTAAATAACAGTTTATAATCAGTGCTCACAGGTAACATATATAATCAGAAAACTATGTAATTCTGTCAGTATATCTCTGTCTCTGAGCTTAACATACTTGAATTGCTACTGGAGATTTTTATGACATATCACTTGTTTCACACCCTGGCTGTTGGGATAGACTATATGCCTACATATATGTACCAAATACCTAATAATTTCAGGTTTGCTAAATGTCATTCCATCTGTATTCTTCTCGGGGATTTTATTTTGTTATGTTACTTTTGTAATGCTGATTTGTTTCCAAAGTAGCAACTTCTGGTGATGATGTATTGAGTTCAGGGTGGTTTTATGTTGCAGCTTATGTTGATAGTGTGGCATTTAATACCCTGAAACTGAACTGTAAATACTTAAACTCTGACATTTAAACCCCTGCCATGGAAAAGCAAATATATGTCTCTGCTGCTTTTCACATGAAATTCTGTTGCATCAGCTTTGGCTTTTTAGATTTTCACTGGAAAAATAAGATTCACTGCATGATTCTGTTGCAGTTTTATGGTTAAACTGTTATTTAGGTTTTTTGCATTTCTTAAATGTTGTTTTTAATGGAGTTTGTAACAGTACATCGTTTGCATGTTCTGTTGGGGTGAAGCAGTGTCATATCTGGTGCGCAAGTGTGGAGTCCAGGCTCCAGAGTTGCCTTTCATTAGCTGGGCTGAAGTCAGACCTGAGAGAGATCAGTAGCGCAGCCTGCACAAACTTCAGCAGCCGTAGCATTGAGTTTTGCCCATGTGATATTGGACAAGTCACTTATCTCCTTTTACCTCAGTTTAACCATCTTTTAAATTGATGGGCCAGTGTTTGCTTATCTCACAGGAAGGCTGTGAGGGCAAATTCATTGGTTTTTGAGTCTCTTCAAGATTCTGTGATGAAAGTTTATATATAAATTCTTACAGCAGTTTTATGTTAATATTTCAATTTTATTCATGTTGGCATTCATCCTGAAACCTCCTACTACTGACTTCAGCATGCCAAGAGTTTAGGATGCTTTCCCCCACATACCAAGCAGCGTGATCTTTCCTCAAATACTCTGGCTTATGAATTAGGCAAAATCCCAAATAAGAGCTGACTGGATCAACTTTCATCATACTGTTGATCTTCTGACATGCAGGAAACACAATCAGAAGTAGTGAAAAGCTCTCTTGTTTATGGAGCTGACGTGATAAAATATTCATAGATCAGAAAAAGATGAAGTGCTTTTGATTTAAAATTGTTATGGGCAGGAAAATAAAAATGAAGTTTTGTGCATTTCATCTGTAGGCCTTTTACTGTGTAGGAATTAATATATTTAATACAGGCTGTTTTCATCCCAGTGAGGTAGAGCATGCATAAAGCTTTATGCAGGGTTGTTTTTTTTAAAACCAAAGTTTGTACATTTCACATAATCTAAAATCCTGAGGAAAACAGTTAGAATACAGTTGTTGATGACAGTGATATTAAAGACATCAAAAAAGCCTGCATCAGCGCTTAATTGCTAATGCACTTATACTAAGTAAGGCATGCTGTTTGTGTTTATGGCCCTGTGGTCTCCATTATTGCTTTGATTTGTGTATCTCTTATAAAGGATTCCAGGAACATTAGGTACAGGTGTGTGGTACATAACTGAACCTTTCTTGTTCATTTTATCATGGATGTATTTTAAACTTGTATAGGTATAAGCATGAAGGAGTCATGCATATGTATAGATAATGTATCTGACCAGTGTAAAACTAGTTCTGTTGATGTATTTGAAATGTAAGTACATTTTGTGCCACTAACACTGTGATGTATAAAAGAACTGTTGAATGACTTTTAATGTTGTGTTTTGTACTTTGAATCATATTGAAGAGTTTAATTTGTAATTTCAATAGATATTTTAAATGAATGTGTCTCCTGTGATTCTTCATAGTGATATTTCAGTGTTTTATGTTCACTAAAGAAAAGTGCTTTTGTTATGATAGGACTCTGTGCTTGTCTGCCTCTCAGTCCTTCAGAGCAAGCACAGCCTGTCAACTAGAGACTTCCTGCCCCCCTCTGAGCATCACTGTGGTTTCCGATTCATCATCTTCCAGCTTAGCCAAAAGAGTGAATCTGAGTACCTTCAGAGCTAATTTGAGCCACAGCTGGGTCTTTGGTCCAACTCCTGTTACAGTCCACTGATACACACTCCAGCTGGGTGGATGTGCTGCTTCGGGGATCACTCTGAGATGGGTGTATATTCTTGCATCACAGGTTTAAGCCTGGTGGAAGTGGCTGTGAGCAGCTTGTATTCCCTTTTGTCTGGTCTTGTGGAAGCACAGCTTTTAAAAACAAAGCCCAGTCTCCTGACCAAGAGAGCATACTTAACTCTTTGGCAGTGGGAATTGGCTCTCATGTTCTTGACTCCATTAATTCGTTCTTTGCATTTTGCCTGAACTGCATCTGAGGATTCCTTCAGCTCCCAGAGTTTTTTCACTTGTTAGGATAATTGCCTGTACCCGTAAAAAAAGCACAGGCACAATTTCTTCAAAGATGGTATTATGCCTCTATGTGCTTTATACTTGGCAATTTAAGAAAAATCAGGGCCATATAATAGCTGCTGCTCAGTCATTCCTTCTTTTGCTTATATGGAGCATAATGATTTTTTCTCCGTAGGGAAAGATCAGTTGAGACATTTTGTTCAATTAATTCGGCAGAAAATAGTCTATAAATGCCACAAGGGGTTTGACCTATGCTAGGAAAAGTTATTAACAAAGCAATCTTTCTGCTTTCTTCCTCTGCTCCCATAGTCTATTGCTTCCAATTAGGTATGTTTTGCTTTGCAGTTTTCTTTTAGAGAAAAGGATCATTTCTCAGTCAATTGCAATTATTAGTTTAATAATGTTGAGCTCCTGGATGTTTCTTCTAGGTTCAGAGTACCTTGCCAGAGAAGGATTTTCTTACCAGTGCCTTCAGCTGCGTGAGTGGGTTTCTGCAGCACCAGTCTGTAATTCTGATTACAGAATCAAGCACTGCAGAAACTCTGAGTAACAAACTTCAGGGCCTCAACTGTATAAAATTAAAACATTTAAGTTGAATTTTTAAATGGCAAACTTTAAACTTAAATGGCAAATGTTCTGGTAAATAGTGTCCGTGATCATCTAGTTACCAGAGGTAACCCACATTTATCATAATAAGTTCGGCTAGGAGGGACCCGAGCCCCAGAATAACTCCTGAACTATGTATGGGCTCTGGATGGGAGAGTTCAGGTCAAAATCATGCCATTTAACTGTCCTCTAAGAACAGATCCATTGAGACAATTGAATCCCACAGCACAAAAAACACTGTGCTAGTTCTAGCATTCTGCTAGTTAAAATGGTACTAATAGAGATGTGGCTGTAGAAATTGAATCAGGTACACACACAGGTATGGGTGTAGTGCTAAAGATTGCTACTGCCAACCTGCAAGCACAATGCATCCACTGCAGTTGTGGTGTCTGTTGGAGATCATCTAGGATGTTTCTCGTAAGAGATTTTGTGCTGTGGCTACTTGCCTGTTAAGCAGTGTATCTATAACAAGTGTATTTATGCAGGATATAAAGACACTGATGGAACTTTTGCTGATTCTGAAAATGAAAAGGCTGTTTTGTACAAGGAAGCATTTGCAGACTGCACTCTGGGAACCCAGATTCAGCCTTGAATCCGACCCCATGTCATTATGAGGTTCGTCATAACATTCAGGTGTCTGGCTGACTGGTAGTCAGTGCAAAGACACATATCCTGGGTCTATGGGACATTTTGCTTACCATATGATGCTTACTGAGATAGCTGTTTAGACAGCTTAGCTTTCTCAGTGTCTCAAGATGCTTCTCTGGTGTTTATTTTCCCCACCCACTTTGATGACAGAAGAAGTCTATGCAGCTGTCTTTGTCCAGGCATAAAACTTTTACATGACTAAAACCGAATGACACAGTCATAGAGTGCCTACTGTAAGTACTGCTTTCAGATACCAGAGCAGAACTTGTTATAAATTAGAACCACGTTACTCTGCTCCCATACAGTGTTTCCAGATAAATGTGTGTAATGTGTGTATGATGACTATAACTGAATGCATATGTGGCACATATACAAACTGTTTAGATGCTGTAAATCATACAAACCAACTCATGCAAGCAATGGAAGAGCACTTCAGAGACTGGATAGTCCAGTTCTTTTGTGGTGTTTGTGCACAGGGGAGAACAATGTCAAGCTATATGTGCTAACAGGTAATTTATTCCTGGTGTTCCTTGGTCACTTTTTTCTTTTTTTTTTAATAAAAAAACCCCAAATGAATACCACAATCAGTGCATAAACTCTAAATTTAAACCTAGCTCTCAAGGGAGAGAGCCCCTGGGAGTAAATTCTAATGTCCACAATGCCATTTTCTAAAATCTGAATGTAAATATGTGTGTCTTGCTGATATGTAGTACTTTGTTTTTATGCACAGCGTGTCCTTAAAGGTCAAATGTGGATTCTAGTCAGTGTAGGTTATATATGGCTACAGGGAGAAGAAATTCTACTATGCAATTTTATAGAGCAGGAAATCTGATCTATGCTGATTGTCCGTATTAAATAGATGTATGAAGGTTCTGGGATATTTTTTGTAGCTTTACATGGAATAAAGTGTATTAAGAAAAGAGCTAAATCACTTCCTCATTCAAAACACTGCCTTTTTTTCTCCAGGTAGCTGGAGCTGGAAAAGTAAAAACAAATGTCTATACATTGAGTAAAGTGGGACTCCACATATGCTATTAATTGGATGCTCAGGGCCCATTAAAATCGATTAGTCTTTCCATTACTTTCTAGTGAGTTTGGTTTTGCATTTTAGGTGAGCAATGAGCTCATCTTTCTGCGTAAGAGCTCACTGTGACAGAGAGCTGTGGGTTTCTGACAGGGTTTTCGCTGCCAGTGATTCACTTCAATTGACATGATCTGTTTTGTGTGACAGAATACAAGAGACTGATTTCAGTGTGGACCTATAAGAGTAGAAAGCTCTGTAAGATTAAAAGAGAGTGAACATTATGCACTAATATAGCGGGTTCTGTAGGCCTGACCTGCTCATACCAGTCTAAATTAAAGTCTGCAGGCTCAGCCGTTCTTGAGATCTACACTGCTGTGATTTATTCTTGAGAATGATTACAAACAAACACGTTTTTTTTCTCTTTACTCCATTGAGATGATGTTTTGGATTTTGGTGGGTGGCAGAAATGCTTGAGCTGCCTCAAAATCCTGAGGTTTCATTATATTTTCAGAATGGCACTGTCATTTTGTGGGATTAACCACAGGAGAAATGCATGGGATTGTGCAAGATTTCATTTAAAAACTGTCTTGGCAGATGAGCAGAATGCAGCATTCCTTTCTTTATTTTCATGCCTCAGTAATTAATAGTGTACTCTTTGAAGCTGCATGTGAGTTCTATGATGGGTATAGGTAAAGTGAGGGATGCCCGGGATGTAATATGGATAAACTTTTCTTGGTGTACTAGAAAAGGTGGTGGAGAGTGTATTTTAAGCCCTTGCAGGGAGCGGTGGTGCTGTGAGCCAGCAGGGTGCAGCCTCGGAACGCCATCGCGGGCAGCAAGCGCTGGCTTGCTTGGAGAAATCCCTTTTAACAAGGTTTCTATCTCAAGCTTTTAAAGTCTGTGCTTCCAAACCTTCACAGAGTTAATTGTAATGATATCATGGCTAAAAATAACGATGTTATGATGGGCCTGCACACTCTGCTGGGGCTGTTCTAGTCTCTGAAAATTAACATATTATTGCTTCTGTTCTCTGAGAGTATGTGAATCTTTTCTGAAAGTGAAAAAGCCAAAGTATTTGAACCTCCAGAAAATTGATATACACATAGAGATGCCTCAATCTGCAAATGTAAAATGAGAGGTGCAAACCAGAAGTCTCTTTCAAAATGCCATGTTCAGAGAGCACTGACTAACCACACTGAGAGAAAGGGAACACTACACATCAGTTGGCTCAAAACAGTTTAAGTATTGGCTAATAACATTGCATCTTCTTGATATTTTATAATTGACGGATGTTGTAACTGAGCCAAATTATTCTTTCTCCCTTCCTACCCACGCCTGCTGTTGTATCTATGTTCCTCAATACAGATGTTCAGCAGGAACAATGCAACTGTCCAAACAATAACTCTAACCAAAGTCAAGATGTTTGGCAGGGGAGGCAAGCTGATGGGGGTTGCTGTGAGTCCCTCTGCCTTTACCTCACTCTGTTTATATATGTTCCAATGTTCATGTGTCTTCCTTTCCCCCCTCCAAGCGTATCTGACTAAAGCTAAGTGAAAAGTTAGTTTCTTGTGGTTTTTGTGGCCTAGAGTTACGTTTCAGGATCCTGCCAACACTAACATAAACTAACTTTTAAAGAAAATATAATGTGCCATTCTGGCTGCCACCATGTCCTCGCCAAACTTCCAGGGACTCCTGGGAAACTTCTGGTTCATGCCAGTTGCAGCCTGTTAGGGATGTGTTTGGAGCATGTGTTTCAGCTGGATCAATTTTTCCTGTCCAGGACTTTGCAATTATCTTATGCAAAATGGTGCACAGTGTGTCTTACCAGACTGCTAATAATTCGCTCCCACCATACACACTGCATTGCATTCAGCATATTGCCCCAGCCTTCAGCATTGGTCAGGCAGCTACAGACTGAGGAACTTCTCAGTGTAGGATGCCTCCAGCCTATCAGTGCTGCTTGCAACTCTTCTGTCTTCCTAGGAGGAGGGTATGGTTCTGGGTGCAGAGCAGCATTGTGTGTTGAAGAATGGCCCGCGGAAGATGCAAGCCTACAGGAGCTGTCTCCCTGCTTCCCACAGTACGAAACTAAGAGCAGAGATACCCAGAGCAGCAGAAGGGAGAGGTGCTAGAAAAGAGCAGCTCTAC